GCGGTCTAAGCAATTTTCTAAGCGGGCGACTGTCTCTGTTTGGGCCGTATGCACACCCTAGAGTGAGCTGGGATCCATTAATAAATACTTGCGTAACGATACAACATCAGTTGACGCACTGTCTAATATGTTTTACTTCGAGTGCTAATCGGGGCCTAGACAGTATGACTACACCTTGACTTTTCTCGTCACCGTGAGACAAAATGATCGCCACATCCCCAGTTATTATGTCACATCCTTTCCTCTCTTTCAACAGAATGCATCCCTTGCAAAAAGAAGAAATCGGTTCGCTGTCCTTTAAGCCACCAGAACAGTTTGCGTCGCTTTGGCAGCCCCCTTAACCACTTTAAAACCATTAACTTATAGTGGCACCAATACAAACGTAGTGCTGTCACCGTCGTGTGTTCGATTCCGTACAGTCTGCATTATTTCCCGGCTGCGGTGCCTGAGGCATAACGGTGTTGGATCGTGAAACCCAATACAAAGGTAGTGCTGTCACCGTCGTGTGTTCGATTCCGTTCAGTCTGCATTATTTCCCGGCTGCAGTGCCTGAGGCATAGCCGCGTTGAACCGTGAAACCCAACACAAACGTCGTGCTGTCACCGTCGTGTGTCCGATTCCGTTCAGTCTGCATTATTTCCCGGCTGCGGTGCCTGAGACATAACGGCGTTGGATCGTGAAACCGAACTTAAGCGTCACTTCATGGATGTGTGACAAACGTTACGTTAGCCGCGAGCAAGCGATTACGACGCAACATGCGTCTTCAGAGGTGTCAATTTTTAAAATTATTGGGGGGGGGGGGCCGAACCAAAGGCCCGACAACCTAAACACCCCCCCCCCCCTCCTTCTACCTTTTTTCCTCTGGATTTAGTCCACTTCATGTTGGTGCAAGCAATATGTGTTTGAAATATTTGTGTGATTTATAAGTATTTAATTTAGGCAGTATAAAAGTTATGCAGGGTTGCATCCAGGAATCAGGCACTGGATGCACGCGTCTCTTCTGATCAGCACGTGAAGACGCCCATTTAGAGGCCACCCTGGGGCGCCCATGGCATTCTTCTATGGCGGTCATTTCATCTATGGCGGAAGACGGCACGCATTTTGGTTGTGGGGGAAGGGGATGGGGTTAGCCATGCCATGAAGGACTTAGGTCATCCCCATATTCCAGAGCTTTTCACGTTAACCTCACAAACTATTGCGTGTGTTATGCTGCTAGGTATGCGAAGTTTATTGCATCGTTTATCTGCTCAGCTGTTACGATTTGTGTCTTGTGATGAGGGCAGCCACGACTTTTTGTTATCAGAGTGGTACGAGACACCACTACGCAAAAAGATCAAAGAAGATAGTCTTTGTGTAACGATCATTTTTACCCGCGTTTTTGTGGTATGCCAGCTAAAAACATTGAGGGGAGGGGCAAGCCAGCATGAGGGAGCCCAACTGAACATGGGGGGGGGGGGGGGGCAAGGCCCCCACAAAACAATGCAAATCGACATCCATGTGCATCTTGATAGCAAGTATGAAGGCTAGCCCGGCATGAGCTGCGCAGTTGTCAGCATTGATGGGGCAACAGGCGACTCGATTTATTTTAAGACGAAAATGAAATGCGTACTCAGTACAATACCAATGAAAGACTCATGCCTAATATGGGCGGCTAAATGGACAAAACTAACGTCCCTGGCAGCCAGAGCACATCAAGTCATTCTACCCTGGCTAGCGTCTGCCGACGCCCGAAGTCAACCAGGTAGCCGGGCGGGCTGGCCGACGGCACACACACACACACACACACACACACACACACACACACACACACACACACACACACACACACACACACACACACACACACACACACACACACACACACACACACACACACACACACGCACGCACGCACGCACGCACGCACGCACGCACGCACGCACGCACGCACGGATACTGGGCTTCACGGCCGCAGGGGCGCCACAGGGTAAAGGCGGTACCGATTTCATGCAGACCGCGTTCACAAAACTCGCTTAAAATAAATCACATCGTGACCTGCGTAACACCACACTATGAATCGGCAAAAACGGTTCAATTATATAGCGAGCGTGGCGTGATGGTCGCGTAAGCCTGGTACCACCGAAAAGTCACTGAACAGTTGAACAGTTTGACTTAATGATCACTGTCCACCGTCGCCCTCTGAACTGTTTGGTTTTTGCAGTATGCTGACCCGCTGCGGATGAACACATAGCGCAGCATCCCAAGTTTCGCTGTTTTTGTTTTGCGTTAGGCTTTCGCTTATACACAGCTCACTGCCATCCCGCTCACTTTTCGACAACATTCTGTTCTCAAAGAGATACTTCTTAGTGACCCGATGCCTGTGCAGACGAACCTGCCGGGGGGTACCCTGGCGTCGATGCGACGAACCACTGCCAGGTAACCCGAGTCTACCTCCGCTCGTGGGAACGATCGCCGTATGACGTCACGAGCGGCCTCCCTCAGTTGATCGGGTCGGCCGTCAGCGGCGAAGCCGGAACGGAGTGTCGGGGTCCCTCAGACTCTCGGGTCGGGAGCCGGTTCGGGGCGCCGGGGGACTCCCTCGGCTCTCGGGTCGCGAGCCGGTGCGGGGCGCCGGGGGACTCCATCAGCCTCTCGGGTCGGCCGTCAGCGGCGGAGCCGGAGCGGGGTGTCGTGGCCCCCCCTCACACTCTCGGGTCGGGAGCCGGTTCGGGGCGCCGGGGGGCTCCCTCGGCTCTCGGGTCGGCCGTCAGCGGCGGAGCCAGAGCGGGGTGTCGTGGCCCCCCTTACATTCTCCGGTCGGGAGCCGGTGCGGGGCGCCGGGGGACTCCCTCAGGCTCTCGGCTCGGCCTTCAGCGGCGGAGCCAGGGCAGGGTGCCGTGGGCACCGCCTTCCGGTTAGCGTGAGCTCAAACGATTTCCAATGCATGTCTCTGAGCTCTGCGTCATCTTGCATTTCCTTGAACACGTGTTTGGAGGTGACCACTTGATCACTGAGCGCTTATTTTCAATGAGGCCATCTCGTTCAGCTGCATGTGATTCCAGGCTTGCTACCTTATGTTCCAGTCCAGCTTTGACGGCTTCATCTCTAAGCTGGTTTATTTAACAGCCAGCGAGAATTAATTTCTGATCTCTGTCAAGACCATTTCTCCATGTGACTGATTTTGTTTCTCATCAGAGACATCACGTCATCATGTTTGGATACCAAAAGCCTCTGTCTGTTGAACAATGGGAGTTTCTTGATCCTTGTTTTGCGTCGTCTTGACTCATCGTCTTCAAGCTTCCTAATATTTATTCCACGGGCTCCTGATCTTTGACTCGTCCCGCCAAAAGTTTCGTTTCCTGCTAGGAAAACGTCGGCGTCTTCCCTACTTTTGACCGAGTGGCTTGCTCTTCACTCACCCCTGTGTCCAGTTCCAGCTCACTGTATGACACAAGCTTCGAACCGCTCACCTGTGGGTGTGAAGCATCCAGAAAATCTCACTTCATCTCATCTTTTACGCCCGCTCCCTGGTACGGACCCCAGCTCAGACACGCATCACTACAGAGCCCGCTGACACGGTCACGTAACGCAGCCGCGGGGTGTCTCGAAACGCGTCCGCCCTGGGCCAAGGTCATGCGCCGAATGGCACGACATTGTGTATGGTAAACACTAGTGTGTTATAACTGATTAATCCATACCTGAAAGGTGAGATGCGTTGAACTTTACAGCTGATATTAAGTGATTTGATATCTGAGAAATGACCGACATACTTTTCTGTGAGCGACTGAAAACTGGTCAATTTGCATCGGATTCTGGTCGGCAAGGCGTTTGGCTTCTGGTTGGCGTCACGTCTTGGGAACAGGCCGCGATGCGCCTCCTGCCGCAGTCAGCTGAAAGGAACAGGCCGCGATGCGCCTCCTGCCGCAGTCAGCTGAAAGGAATGTTGTGATCGGAGCGTGGATCGGAGCGGAGCGTGTGATCAACCATCAGGTAGCTGAAGGATTGCTGTAGATGACCACGCCCTCCGCTTACTGCAATTCCTTTTTGGTTTTTGAACGCACGTCTGACTTTTCAACATTCCAGTCTGAAATGACCTCATTGGCAGTTGTTCGCTGCTGCATCCAGCTGTCTGCATCCTCTGTTGTCTTTCAAAAGTGGCTCAGTGCAATTTTGTGTGCATATTTTCGGATTCTTTTTGCAAAAGATGTATGAAATGCCACAAAGTAACGCCTGACATTTCATATGATACCGTTGCGTGAGACATTATGTAACGTCTAGCATGTTAATATGACATGACACTTTTTCAATAGTTGATTATGCCTGAGGTAACAAGATATTTCAACCAACAGTTCACGATGTGTTTAGATTATCGTATGGGTTACAAATGCGTAGCATTTATCATTTGTTTCCTAGCCCAGGACTCGATTGGAATAGCACTGTGACTTGTCTTACTCCTGGTCATGTGATATATTTAACTCCCTAACTACTTATTCCCTAAAAAGCACCAAAGTATTTGCTCTGAAAAAATGCAGCCTTTTAATTGTGAAACTGCTTGGTTGCGGTACAGGCCTGTGCGTTATGAATGAGTAATTCGTAGTTGCAAGGTGTGGTGCGTTTAAATTCAGGATATACCACATCATCACGAAACACTACTATTTATTTCCCCAGCAAAAGCACCAAACCCTTTACTTTGAAAAATGCATTCTGTAATTGGTAAAACTACTTGGATATGGTAAAAAAAACTGGTGCATTATGACTGAGTACTCCATAATTGGAAGATGTGATGCGCCTTATGCACGGCACGTATTACCTTATTTTATTTCTGAGAAATGAACGATAAGGTTTTCTGTAACTGACCTAAACCTGGTCGATTTGCATCGGTTTGCATTTGTGGTTGACGAGGTTGTTGGTCTCCGATTGACATCATTTGTCACGAACAGGCTGCGATACGCTTCCTTTTGCGGCCAGGTTGAAGGAATACATCCCAGCCTCGGGACAGGCAGACAAAACGACTTTAGTTGTAAAATGTATTGTTGATTTCGGATCACACGCGGGACTACCACGAACGCTCATGGTGTACAGAGACAATTTTTTGCGGTGGTGGGACACGGGACAAAGACGACGAAGGGACGTAGAAAACAGAGAGAGAGAGAGGATAAAAGGCTCTACTTGGGGAGGTGGTCGCCCTGGGCAGAGTATCCGTTCTCGTCAGCCGTCCAGGTGACGGTGTAGGTGACGCCCTCCCAGTCGTACGAGTAGGAGCCAGTCTTCGCATAGCTGCCCGTCTCCGGCTCATTGCCCGGGTACGAGACGCCGCTCTCATCGGCCAGGATGCCGTTGCTGGTTTCGTGCCTGGGGGGTAGGGAGACAAAATAACCAAATGTAGCGTTGAAATCGAACCCAACTGAGAGGTGTTGATTAAAAACCCTGTCATGAGCGACGAGACATATAGGCTAACGACCTAGGATCGACTGGCCGAAATTCCACCAGAATCAAGACATAAGAACATTTGAGTGGATTAATGGTATTAAACCTATCACGATGTTCTGCAGCTTAACGTTTTAGACGGGCAGAAGCTTATCACTCAAAGCAGTTTTCCAACCCTAACCATATCAGAACACCCGAAACGCGTTGCTGATTTTGCACTCCGTCTTCAGCTGTACCGCTGCGGGGGAAAATGTGCGTATACCAGAGGCACCACCAGATTGGCTTCTTTCGGTGGCTGTGATTGCAGTGTTCACGAAGAACGGAAACATATTGGTCGCTACCCTGCTCGCCGGTTACCAAAGGGAAGCTCCCCTTTGGTTGAAAAACGCCCACTGCAAAGCAGAGCTGTCTACAACTAGACATCATTCCGACCCGCGTCGTTGAGCTTTTTGCATAGAAGGATTGGAATGTTCTCCATATAACTCAAACGGGAGGACGAATTTAATTTATAACGCCATGTTGGTGGGCCCAATCACTTAAAGCTTGCCATGAAGCCTGTGTGTGTGTGTGTGTGTGTGCTTGCCAAGAGACCAGATGTCAAAGCCTTACAGAAGTGGTGCAGCAGCCGCCCTCACGAGCCGAGGGCCTGCCAGAATGTTTGAGATATGTACCAATCGGAAACACGGCAACCTCCGACAATAATGTCACCGAAGTGTCTCGCAAGTGTCCGGATGCTGGGACTGGCGCTCTTACTGGGCCTCGTAGGAGCCATCCTCGTTGATCTCGAACTGCTGGTTTATGATTGTGGCGTCCTTGTCGGCCCAAGCCAGAGCCACCAGGCAGAGGACAATCACCTGCAAAACGTCACGCAAGGTCACATTGGGTCAGCGTCGACACGACGATGGCGTGAGCCCATCACCACGCGACAACATGAACAACAAAAACCAAGGCATCATGCCTGCCAGTTCCTAGTGCTTGCATCCCGTCCCGCTGTGCGGTGGTTCTCGGTCATAATCATAGGAGCTATCGCGTGGTGAGCGGTCGGGAATGCCTTAGGGGTTGCCCCCTCCCCCGCCCCCACCTAACATGTGGGAAAACTTAGCCCCAGGTCTATAGCGATGCATGAAATGAAAGGAATCGAAATATATACGCATATATACGAATATGAAATATATATGAGTCGAATAACACCCCTCATGCTCGTATTTTACAGAGATGAGTCGCCTGCAGGTCCCACATATACCAGAGCGCTGTACTCACCAGCTTCATGTTTGGGGCGGGCGGTACCGGACGGCTGCTGTGCAGAAAAGAGCGAGTGGTGCTGGTGAGGAGGCTGAGCGCGGTTTTATAGCAGACTGCCATGCCCATCCTCAGCCCGAGGCGACCTTTGCTCATCCGCCTAGACGTTGACCTTGGTGCGTCGAAAACCCCTCGGGGAGACCGGCCATTGGTGGATAGGGAGCCCTCTCGTGCCACCATGCACGCGAACCTCCCATGACGCCGGCTAGAACACGGACAGAGGAAGGTGTGGTGACGGATCCCTGGATAAGTGGCAAAACCGTTCACGGTCGAAATAATTTGCAGGTATTTCGTAGAATAGCCGTTTGAGCATGAGCGGTGATGCCATTTCGATGTGAAACCACGGGGAAGGACTAGACGGTATAACGAGACTCGGCTGCAATGTACAAAGCGGCACACTGAAGAACGGGGTCTTCTGATAAGAGCGCTTGATTCGAGTAGATCGGTACTGTCTACATAACATGTCCCACCCTTTCCAGAAAATCTCGGTCCAGACAGAACTGGACCGGATCATGCTGAACTGAGCTGGCTAGATCGTGCCTAACCGGGTCGTACCAAGAAGACCGGAGGCAGAGGGGGAGGGATAGAGACAGCACCGGCAGGACAGGGTGAGGCCGGATCAAAGGTGGAGAAAAGCACGGTCTGGACAGATCAGGACAGGACTGGTGTTTAGGCCGGAGTTAAGTCCTGTCCTGGTCTCCCTCTTCCCATTGATGGTTAAGAGCTATCCTGCTGTTCAGCGGGGCTCGTAGTCAGTTATTGAGTTTTAAGGGCGCGTCAACTGCATTGGTTATTTGCGCCCATCTCTTGCTGTTAAGAACCTATGTCAACAGAACTATGATCATACCTATGTCAGCAGACTGTCATCAATGTCCTACTCAATCAGAAAGCTTGTCATCTGCGTACCAGAACCGTGCAGCACATAAAACAAATCGCGTAAGGCCCATGTAACCCACCTTCCAATTGTCTAGGCCGGCGAATATAAGAGTTTGAAGACAATGTCTCTGAAAAGGACAAATGCTGCTCGAGGATTGCTCGACGGCGGATCACCTAAAAGCCAGGCCAGGGAATGTGATTCTGATTAAGATAACGATTCGCTCAGTCTCGTAGTTTCGACACCCAGCTAACACGTGAGCCACGGACAAAGCTGCTGCACATCTACGGAAAGTGGTCGAGTGTCCCTGGAGAGCAGGTAAGGCTGCGTCTTGTACGTGTGGCCTATGCGTAACCGCCCAAGTTTTACTTCGTGGGTTCTGTTTTCGAAGTAAAATGAGTTTCATTCGCCGATCTGCGTTCTGATGGCTCGTAGCTTGTTCGGCCTACAGGTAATATCGGTACGCAATGCATCCCAAATACCTTGCTACCGTGTTTTAGTCGTGGTCACTATAGAGTATGTCCCTAAGATCTGATGGTGGTATCTTCTCCCCGTCCAAGTGAGGGCCGGCGGCACCTTGTTTGGCTGGGAAATCAGTCTGTTCGTTTCCGGATATCCTGGAGTGACCGGGTACCCAGGCGAAAACAACACGTTTGTCATGTTGCTTCGAGGCAGTAATTCTTCAGCAATTTTGTGCTGCTGACTGTCTTGTGGCAAGGTCACCAGAGATCTTAAAGAGTCAGAGAACATGACGCATGTGGATTCGTCACACTGATGCACGAAGCGTAGAGCCTTGCGGATGGCGAATTACTCTGCAATAAAAGTGGAACAATGCTTAGACAAGGTAAAACGTTTTCGTGTGTTTCCTGACACGAGTGCACATCCTATATTACTCGTATATATGCATCCTATATACCCGTATTAATTTTGGAGCCATCGGTATGCATGTGACGTAACCCCCACCCCATACACCGCATGAAGACGACACAGAAACTGCGCGGGGTATTCATCTGTCGTATATTTCTGTACAAATTTACAAAGATGTAAGTCACACTCAGGTGTTCGAAGTTGCCATGCTGGGAGGCCTCTTTTTGGACCCGGAGCAGTACTGTTCACCAAGATGTCCAATCGCTTAAATATCTGGTTGGCACGTGTGGTGGTGGCAGACAGTCTTCACATGTGAAAAAGTGAAAGGCTGACAACGCAACGGGATTCGAAGCACTTGTTGACGAATTGGTTGATCAGTTTGCCTTCTTTCTGCGTTCACATCTTGACTTTTGTCATGCTCATTTTTTCCGTTTTAACAGTGTCGACAGTTACTTTGCATCCTTGTACAATTTTTGTTCTTTGAACTTCTCCGGAGTTAAGTTGTATCCTCTTGACTTCGTTTATTCGAAATTTCCTTTCGTCTGGCTGTTTTTTTTTTAGTGCTCGCCGTAAGACACCGCCCCATTTAACCTTCTCCGGACATCCCGAGAATCAGTACAGTACTGCGGGAGAAGCAAGAAGCCTTGCCGTGCTCTCTGGTGGGTGCTCTCAGAGAACGCCAGCCGCGTCGCCCTGTGTCTGCTCTCTGAGTTGATGGACGGTGACATACGAAAGGATAAGGTGAGCCCGTGGTGAACGCTTCTAAATGAGATGGTGACTCCGCCCGTAGGTTGCGGAATCTTGAGCACGTGTTGAATGAATTCCTTCAACACGAAAACTTGATCATTCTCGGATTCGTTTGACTGCTTAGTTGCACATACCGAACGACGTTCTATCTGTCGCGACGCTCCGAATATGTTCAAATAGGGATGTGTTGAAGAACAATTTATTTCCATATGATAATCATCGATCGAAACGTAGAATACTTTTAATATCAGTAGCCCCTGATATCTTGAAAGTCGATTATTGCCATTGCGCCACGACTAGTATAATGTCAACACTGTACCCAGAGCCGAACGATTGTTTTCAGTTGAAAGGGCTCAAACCTCCTCCAGCTTGGACAGGGCCTGCCTTCAACTTAAAAGCGAGCCTTTCCAACTTTAGACACGATGCCCATAACAATCAAGGCGATGCAAATAACTTAAAAAGCGGACAGTTTTGTTTCGACTTCAAATGAGCTCAGATGCGAGAAAAAGCCAGAATTCCTCGGTACGCTAGGTATATTAAACTAGACCCCTCCCCCGCACCCCTTACCCCAACTTGTATGGAAGCCTCAACTTAGTGCTGCAAGCAAGCAGCCCCCGAAAAGCAGAAGCTTAAGACCATTCATGAGGACATCGGACCGAATCAGAGTACCGGCTGCGTCATGAAATAATGTTTCTTTCAAGGACACTTGACACGCACGAGCATCTCACAGTCCGCCGTCTCCAGGGCAGTTCGGCAATGTGCATGAATTAGCACATGCTTTAGAGGTTAAGGCGCTCCCTCCTCCCTCCTTCCTGCTGCTCACGTAATTTTTCCTACCTCTCCTCAGGCGGCAGGACCAATATAACTCCACACATTAAATGCGCATCTATTGGGGAAACAATCACAAGTTAACTGCGGAAGTGCCTGTATGGTTGCATATCAGATGTTTAATGCAAGGTCTCCTGGTCGACGATAAATGTTGCTGAGTCGCATCATTAAGTTTACCATCTAAACCAACTGCTTCTACCATCCAAGGTATTTCTTAAAAAATGAGGCTGCACATATTCAGCATCAGTCTGCAGGCAAATACGACGAGCGCATTAACGCGGTAAGGCCTGATCACATATTTCAAACTGGCCGCAAAATCTGTTGCAGATTCTCCAGTCAGATTATCAGCTATTGCGAACTAGAGGTGCCATTTCCAATCCTGCAGGTGCACAAAGTGCAGATGAAATCAGCGCAGAGGTGGTAAGCCCTGCAACAGCAGATGACCGCAGAATTTGCTGCAGATTTTGTGGATTTCAGCTGCAGAAACCTTAAGGTGCCACAGGTGCTAAAGGTGAGTATAAATGCTATTTCAATCCATGTTTTGCGGGCGTGCGGTCTAAATATGACACATTTAGTGCACAACGCCTGTCGGCTTTCAGAAGATGCTGCTGAAAATGCAACCAGTCGGCGTGCCGAACACGGACCAAAGCATGATGCTGTTAAATAAATTGGTCATGCACTCAACCTCGGCTTTATACATTCCTGACACTAGCAACAACTAAGACCTCTTAAGTCACTTTTCAAGCCAACCAAAGCACTATCAACTGAGCTTCGGAGTTCTGCCTTGTTCCACTATAACAATACGCTATGAATACTGTACAGCAATTCTGGTACCCTCGCCTTAGAAACCCTGGTTCCATTTTAGCCAGATATGTATATATATATATATATATATATATATATATATATATATATATATGGATATATCAGGTGAGGCATCCGAATTGCCGTGTGAGCGAGTCGGACCTCCAATGCACAGTTGACATTGCAATTGATGGTTTGAGAAAGAATAGCTCAAAACAATTGCTTGAGATCTTCATTCATTGAAAAAAGGAGAGCATCGTGACCCAACACTAAGCTCAACAACACGGTAGCTCGCATTCACGTGGAAGTCAACTCAGTGCAACAGTGGTTCTGCTAACTCGCCCTAAATCATCAGAAATCAAGCGACCGCTACTTACGTACAAACGTCTGCCGCTAACTCACGGACAATGACCGCCTGAACACTCACTGGGACTTCTCTGTAAACCTCAAGTGTCCCATGGACAATCTTGGCCACAGCCAGTCTAATTCTAAGCTCATCCTCTGCCCGAAGGACTTCTCCTTTTGATACGAAGGAACATACCGTCTGCAGTGAGCATGTCAACAGAGAGAATATGGTCGGAATGATGGTGCGATAGGCTGACACCGGCAGCAACCCTTTTCAACGTCCCCAACCCCGTCGCAAACATTTTTCTCATGGGATGTTGTAAAGGAATACCTCTTACGCTTCACGTCGATGTCCCCATGAAATCAAATGTTCAAAAATTGTAAACGGTAGTGACCCGGTGACACGATGAACGGTGATGCTGCTCATCTGATGCATCTGAAAAGCATGCACTTTTCCAAATTTGAAACGAAACTTTTTACTTCTGGTTAAAGGTATTGTAGAAATGTATGGACCGCAACGGTGTTATGTTTCGTCACGTCTGACAGCATGCAATAACTATAAAAGGAGTGTTCCACCTTT